TTCATCAAAAATGACATATTTAAACATTTTCGTAAAAATGATTTCCTTGTGCACTAAATGGCGTGAATAAAATGCCCTTAACCTCATTTCCATTGCGTGGATTCATGAATGTCGACTGATGAATTTGCACATTGTTTGTCTTCAAGTAAATTAAAACCAGCAGATAAAAAATGTTAAACAATGTTAAACAATGACCACAGGGGGTCTTTAAAAGAACCGCTTTAAAATCTAAAGAACATTTTGTGCATTGAAAAGGCTCCATTGAAGTTAGAGTTTCTTTATGGAATCATAGATGTCAATAAAGAAGCATGTTCTGTCTTTTTTCTGAAGAAATTGTGATATATTGTCACTCTGGAACCCATTATGTGAATGAAAGCATGGCCCAGTGGCATCTGTGCTTTTTAGCAGTGAGAGCGGCTGTGTTGAGTCTTTTTCAGAAATGCAGGGTACACAGGTACAGACACATATGTGGGACAGTGCTCGCTTAAAGGCAAAAACTGTCATGACTACAAGCTCACTGCCATCAAACCGCATGCCCTTTGACGGCTGTGAACCTCAGTATTCAGGGCCGTGTTGGATGATGTCAAAGACTCCATTAGTCAAAATACTTGGATGCGTTTCAACAGGGAGGAAGCTGCACATCTCTTTACATTCATCTTATTAGCAAGGAAAAGTCTGCCATCTTCCGGTAGAGACTAAAACACTTATATATAGATATGCATGTCATTGCATTAATGAAAAACAAAATGCAGTGACATTCAGACATTTTTAAGTGTGCCAAATGTCCAGATACATCTTGGGTTCATATTTCTGACCAACAACAACAACATTCTTGTCTGAGGTGTCTTTAGCACCTTTCAGATCTCATCAGGTCTCTTTTGTGTGCAAAGCCCTTTTAAATCTTGAATTCAAGGCTCAGGGTCTCACATCTTGTGTATGGACAAATCAATGTCATTTATTTTAATTTATAACAACCCAAACAGATGCAATCAGTCTATTCTGTTCAGTGATATCAGAGCTGAATGGTGCATTAGCACAACCTTGTGCATAAACTTTGAATATACCCTAATTTGTTGTAAACTGAGCTGCTTAAGAAAATAACATGATTCACGCTGTGAACTTTTTAATGCATGAAGCGAAGTACTGCAAAACCTTTTATCACATTAACTTGACACAAACTTGCTCCATGTCATCTCATGTGGAAAAAACACACTCAGAAATAATATATTTAAAGGTGGCATATGATGAAAATCTGACTTTTCCAGGTTTTAAGTGCTATAATCAGGTCCCTGGTGCATCTACCAACCAAGGAAACGTGAAAAAGATTAACCTAGTAACTTTGTTTTGGTAAGCCTTTTTCTGGTTTTTTTATTAATATATATATATATATATATATAATATTTTTTTATTAATATGAATTCAAGGATCCGTGTTTTATGTGTGAGGACAAAAGTTGCTGAACATTTTATTTACGTGTGCATGCAAACTGTCCAATATATAATGTGCATTTTATAGTCACTGTAGAAATATTTAATCCCAGGAACCTTTACAATTATTTTGAATAGGTCTGGTGTCTGAGGTGAGTTCAGTTTCAGGTTTGCTATGACAGTCTCTGACAGAAGGGTGAGTTTTAATTGCTCTTGTCCAGATATTCCAGATTAGGGGCATCCAGACGCTGCTCCATGGCCTTGTTCTTGCCGAACTCTTTGAGCATGTCCATCACCTCGCTCTGGTAGACATCAGGTGTCGGCTTAGCCTCTGATGGGAGGAAGACATGTTTAGAAATGTGTGCAAATTCATATTAGACCCCATTTACTTATTATATACACATTCCTGGTCTTATTGTGCATGACACAACAATGCACACATCATTGCAAAGAAAACATCAATGGACAAAATACAAGTCAAACACACTATTTAGATTTCATCTGAATGCCCGAGCAGAGCTGCAAACCATTGTTCATCTCTTCTATCTGTTTAGTTTATCCGTTCATTCATACCTGTTGCCCAGTAGTAGATGTCCCAGTCATTGCTGGGTTCATTGATGAGTCTGTCGTACTGCTTTAGCTGAGGTTCACTCATTGTGTTCAGGTACTGCTTAGCAAAAAGGCTGGTAACAAAAACAGTCAGAGTAATTCTATATTATATAGTAATAAGTATTATGCTTAATAAAACAATAAGCCCCAAGAAGCCATGGTTTACAGTGAATTTATAACAGCTAAGGGGCGTTGTTCGACACGACGCGAAGCGGCTTATTGCTTTTATAAAACGGTTATTCCATATACGTCGTTAGGTTTCACAAAATAAAACAGAGCAAATAAAGTGTAATGATATTAATAAAAACAGTATTCTTCCACCAAACAATGTAGTTCCTCAGAATCAGTTGTGGTTGCAACAAAGTGGTTGCCAAGCAACAGACAAAGTAAACAAAGGTGTATGTTTGTAGAGTAATTTACAACAGCTTCGAACGTGGCTCAGCCAATCAGAATCAAGGACCGGAACTATCCGATTTATAAATTTGGTTTTAAACTTAAAAAAAGGTTAATAATAACGGTAACACTTTACAGTAAGGTTCCATTTGTTAACATTAGTTAACTACATTACTTAACATGGACTAACAATGAAAAATACATTTATTAACCTTAATATATCAACATTTACTAATAAACTATTTGAATTAAAAAAATTGTACTTATTATGATTTAATGGACAAATACATCAAAATACACTAAATTAAAATGAGAAATGTTACAACTACCTAAAATAAAAAAATTTAAAGTCTTTTTATGGTTTTAGTTGGAATGGAATGACTATATTTGTAAATAGTCGGCAGTATTCAGTGTATACTGCTCACTACAATTCATCCTGAACATACTTAGATACACTCAGACAATATTATATGTTGTTGCCAAGACTTTGCCTGCTTGAGTAAGTTTTGCGGTCTGGCATTTATCTAAGACGTCTTCTTGACCTGCAGACCTCAGAAGGATGCAGTTCTCCAGCATGCCTCTCTTGCGGCTCTCGTACAGCAGTCTCTTTCTCTTGATGTCCAGGGATTCTCCTGTCCTCTCCTGCCACGGAGGCAGTGGGATCTCAATGATGGTCGTTCTGGGGCATCACCGCGGTATCCCCGAGAAATCACTGTGGTGACAGCTGGACGCAGTGATGTCCGGCAAACAGAAAGAACAACCTGAGAAAATATAGTTTTGGTTAACTTATAATAACCCTGGTTTGTTTAAAAAAAAAAAACATACAAAACAGTAGGTCTCAGGCGGTGAAGAATCTGTAACATTACATGTTCAATAACAAGTAAACATACCTGCTCAGGACAGTGTCTTCTGAAAAAAAAATCTATGTAAACTAGTATAAAAAAAGAGTGAAACTGGTCTTATGTATAAATTCAGAGTACAGTTAGTGTTGTTAAAGCTGCAGTCCGTAAATTTTGCCTCTTTGTCGCCATCTGTTTGAAAACCTGGAATTGCAGCTGTGCGGGGAATAATCTAGCTTGCGTGGGTTGTGCTCCGGCGCGGCTCCAGCGCGGATGAATCTAATGTTCTGAAGAGTATAGAAAACATTATTATAAGCTAACCGTTGTGAATCGGAAACAAACGTACCTTTCGTGCGACAGTTGCTGAAAACATGTTATCTTGCAGTATCTTAAGTGATGTGCGACTGATCAGGTGTTTGGCTGACAATTTTTCTTATTTTGAAGGAGAGTTTAGGCAACTGTTTCACAGTCAAAGCGCGCGCAGCGGCCGCCATGTTGGTAAGGTCAATATCATTTTCTTATTTGAATATTATTTGAATGTTGCTTTGAATAGTTCTTTGTTTTCTGTGTCGTGCAGATATTTTAACCTTCGAGTTTGTCCTTGACTACTTGACTGGCACGTGTTTAATAAAGGTAAACCAATTGTAAGCTACTGTTTGTTTCCTAGGGATTGCATTTCAGTGAGCACTTGTGAAAGCAGATGGAAGTTCACAGCTTTATGTCAATTTTTAAAGGAACAGTGTTACGAATTATAAACAGTAATTTTGTCCCATATTATTTACATTTGCTTTACGTTTATTATACGCATAATTAATAAGCAAAAACCTGTTTAATGTCTGAAAATAAATAAACTTTAATTACATTCCAAAACGTAAGGCTCACATTTTTACTCCTTACAGTTTAATTTTTCTTCAAAATCCAAATTACATATAAGTCAGAAGTCAGAAAGAGCTTTATTGCCAAGTATGTTTACACACACTTCCAGTGCAGAAGAAAGTACGGACACACATAGGAATTACACAGTAGAGATTAAATAAAACACTAATATAAGAAAAACAGAAAATTAAATAATGCGAAATAATACATAAGTAGAAATACAGAGAAAACATATACTTTATATATACTTTGATTCAAGTATTACTCATACTTAAATAGGCTACGAATAAATTTATGTTCAAATACATTTTCAGCAACAATTCTTTTGGTATGAAATATACTACTACCATTTTTTTCTGTTACTATTTTGGTTTAATTAATTTTATTTCAGTTTTTATTTCCAGTTTCATATAACAAACCTTTTGGCAAGGCAGTATTTCTAATGTTCATTTAATGTTTTTCCATCTAATATATATATTGTTTGTTTTCAGCTTTATTTTGATTAACAATATTTTTGATGGTTTTGGTTAATGATAAACGTTTAATGGCAAACACTTGCCAGATGTGTCAATATGAACCATTGTTACACAGTAAAGAGCAGCAAAAATTCTTATTAAATCCTCTTTTTGTGTTCCAAAGAAATAAATGACAGTACACCCATTTGGAAAATAATGAGGGTAAATAATAACAAACTGCATTTTTCAGGCTAAGTATTATTTTTATCAGATTTTTTTTTTTAACTCAAATATCAAAACTGTAGAGTTGATAAAGCAGATGCCCATTAGATTTCCTCAATGTTTTGATAACACCAAGCTACCTCTAAGTTATTGTGATATGTAATGAACCACACAAGAGATACATTTCAATCTTTATTTAACAAAATGCAAATAAACAAACATACAACATCATAAGTTTACTTCAGATATAGTCTAATGAACCAGCCATGCCCGGGTCGAAGCGCATGCCTGTGTGTCTTCCATTAGGATCAAATCTTTGAAAATATGAGGAGAGGCCGAGTGGGATTTTCATCTTCAGTTGCACAGAAAGCTCCTCATTTCTCCAGCGGTGCATAATTCAACAACTTCTCAATGAGATCCACGTGAGCCAGAAGCATTCGGCGACAGCAGTATCTCTTCAAACCCAGAGCGTCAAGAGCATCACTGTGAAAATGAGCAGAGTGAGATTCAGTTTTAAGCCACTCTTATCATCTGAAGCATGCCGAGAAATCAAACCCAAGTGGAAATTTCATGAACTCACCCTTCTGTATACTCTGCTTGAAGAAGACCTAAATATGCCTCCCATTTGTTCCCAACAATCTTCCCACAAGTGAAGCAGCGAATGGGGATGATCATGGTAAAGGACGAGAGGACTGAATCAAAGTAAAAGTAAGCATTTATTAGAAAACACACACACACACACACACACACACACACACACACACACACACACACACACACAGGGTTTCCACGGGTTTTAACGAGACAATTCCAGTTGTCCATGACTATCGGATAAGGATTTCCTAGCAGTTGCTGGATTTCCATTTGTATGTCAGATACCAAGCTTTTGAATTAAGATAAACAACGTTTTTATTATATCAATTAATTAATATAAGTGTCTCCAATAAGACTTTCAACAGACAATTTTATTCTGCAGAGATATGTAAATATGACCTATTATAGAGAGAGACGAAAACGATACAAAACTCAGTAACAGATGTAGATACACATGTATTGTTGCACTTCTTCACAGGAGTAAGTTAGCCTACAGATTTACAGTAAGTTAGCACTAAGTTACATAATATGTGTAATAGAGCCGTTCAGCTCAAGAAAACTTCCTATGAGAATCCATAACTAAACTCTTAGAAATGAGAGCAGGTTATTGTTATTATTCAAGATGTCAAAAAAAGTGTAAGAAACGTTACCTGAACAGTCTCGCGGGCAACACACGTTCCTCTCTAGCCGCTCGAAACAAACGCATACAGATGCGTCACTTCCGCGACGCGTGAGTCAAGTGCGCGCGGGCGGAAACGTGGTTATGAGGAGCGTTCCGCGAGAAAATTCAATAATTCGTGTGAGTTAAAGGGGTCATATGATGTTGCTAAAAAGAGCATTAATTTGTGTATTTGGTGTAATGAAATATGTTTATGCGGTTTAAAGTTAAAAAAACACATTATTTTCCACATACTGTACATTATTGTTTCTCCTCTATGCCCCGCCTCGATTTTTACAAAGCTCATCGGTCTGAAAAAGCGAGGTGTGCTGTGATTGGCCAGCTATCCAGTGCATTGTGATTGGCCGAATACCTCAAGCGTGTGACGGAAATGTTACGCCCCTTCCCATACTGTTGATTTCGCTTTTACAACGAAGCACACAGCGTCTTCACGACATGGCTGCAGCAACAACAAAATTACAGTGAGACTAAAAGTTACGCCTTCTTTCTTTGCTTGAACATTTGGGCACGTTATGCAAATCTTCCCACATAGTGATGTAGACATGTGGGGGCGTGTTAGAACGAGCCGTTTTAGGTAGGTGTGGCTGACTCTGAACTTTTATAAAGAATATCTCTTTGGATTTGAGACTTTAGTCTTTGCAACTTTACAGATCTTCTTTATGCACCAAGAACTTGTAACACTCCAGAGAGAAAGGACAAATTGAAATCGCATCATATGTCCCTTTAAAGTCACCAGATCTCTCTAACAACAGATGAAAATTACGCAGTTCACATAAAATTATATTTTAGCCTTTTACGCTTCTTTTATCCAGACATGGGGTTTTCAGACGTTTGATGCCAAAAAATTCTAAATAGAAATCTTTTCTAACAATGTAATTTAGTGATAGTTATCACTTTTTATCAACTTAACACATCCTTGAATAAAAGCCTTCATTTCTTTAAAAAAAATAAATAAATAATAATAATTACTGACCCCAAACTTTTGAATGGTAGTGTATATTGTTACAAAAGATATCTATTTTGAATAAACACTGTTCGTTTTAACTTATTATTCATCAAATAATCCTGAAAAAAGTATCACAGGTTCCAAAAAAATATTAAGCAGCAAAACTGTTTCCAATATTGATAATAAATCAGCATATTAGAATGATTTCTGAAGGATCTTGTGAGACTTAAGACTGGAGTAATGATGCTGAAAATTCAGATTTGATCACAGGAATAAATTACATTTTAAAGTATATTAAAATAGAAAACCATTATTTTAAATTGCAATAATATTTCACAATATTACTGTTTTTTCTGTATTTTTTGTCAAATAAATGCAGCCTTGATGAGCAGAAGATACTTTTTTTTTTTTTTAACATTACAAATCTTGAACTTTTGAACAGCAGTGTGTGTGTGTGTGTGTGTGTGTATGTGTATGTGTATATGTATATATATATATATATATATATGTATATATATAACTATACAATTTTTTTTCTTTCTCCTCTCCTTGTCCTTTCTTTCAAAGTACTGCCCACACTCCAGTCCAGTAGGTGGCGGTAAATGCACCTTTCAGTTGGTTTGCCAACCGCCAATAAAATGAAAAGAAGAAGAAGATCGTGTGCCTTAGGCTGGCCACAATAAAAGGCCACTCTAAAATGTGCAGCCTCTGTTCAGACTACCGGCTGCGAATACAGTGTTGCAAGCCTGAAGTGTATCAGATCGGGTATTAACCGTTACATCACAAAACACAACATCATAAATGATAAAGATTTTAAATCAAGCAATATAATTCATTCAAATAAATGTAATCTTACTGCACTACTTAATATATTTGTCTGCTCTGTCTTATTTAAAGCGAGTAGAATGCCCGTCATTTTTATTGTTCTGGTCAAATATTGCAGAGCAAATATTATTAACATCTTTAATATGTGAATGCTGGCAAATGACCATGGCATAAGCGGGATAATCAACAGCTAGCTGTGCATTAAATGATTTGAATGCACTTCTTCGCCTCCACGTCGTGCATTCAATTCGTTTAATGCACAGCTAGCCATTGATTCTCCCTTATACATAATTCTTATATTGTTTCATTTTATTTTTGTTTCGTACTGTTAAAAACCAAGGCTGCCAGTAGAATAAAATAATTTCTTAGTGTTTAAAACTAGGGCTGTCAACAGCATAACAGAATAAAACAATTTAATGAATTTAGAAAGCAGTTGAATGTAATAATGTAAAATTCAGCAAATACTAACTTAAAACATTTTTGTAGGATTGCAGCAGGACTATCAAATCAGTTATCAAAATCATTCATGTTTGTAAGGCCATTGATGGTTGATTTTTAACCCTTTGATTAAGTATTTTGCATCACCTCTGACCTTTATATGTTTTTGTTGTTGTTTCACCTTTTTGCAGAAAGGAAAAAGCAAAGAAATCTGTCACACGTATGAAAAAAATTGGATTCAAGTACTGAATTCTGTCTAAAAATAACCAGAGGGAAAAAAACACACAGAGTCTGGGAAAATATGGTTCATTGTCCTTTAATAAGGTCATCAAGTCACAAGAGAGCCATCTTGTTTTAATTCACACAAGGAAGAAAGGCAGCAGGCGAGGTTGTGTGCAAAATAAATACATATGGCAGGAGGAAAGGGGCCACATTTAACAGGCAAACTTCATTAGAACAAACAAATAAAATCATAATCACTCATCATTACCACCACCAAGACAACCACCATGTTGCCACATCCTAATTCACATCATTACCATCAGTATCACAACTAATACACAGTCTTCTTTCTTTTAAATACAGAGTTCTAGTTGAATTATTGCATTATATACGCACTTTAAAGAAAATGTCATTTTCTGTAACAGTATGTCATGTGACGTGTGGGTGTATATTGTTTGTGTCTGCATGCATTTAGGGATTGTTTTGTGTAGCGCTCATAATAGTGTAACAGCGAAATTGAAGCTGTTGGCCGAGAGCCGTCATAATCTACGTTGCATCTATGTTGCATCACGCATCTATTTCAATTGGCCCACTTAAGAAAATCGTCAACGTCGTTCAAACAAGAAACTAAGATTTTGAAATGGCACAGATGGTCTACAGTATGCAATTCACAGGCAAGATTATTGAATTACTGAATCACTTGTTTTTGGTTGATGGCAAGTGATGTCAAATACAAAATGAACCCATATAATATTTGAAATAACTGAGATTTTCTTTACATTTCTACACTTTCTCTCAACAATACAGGCCTAACTGTAATAGATGTCAGTGGCTTGATATGTAGCTATGGATTTGCACAAGCATTTGATTATGAAACCAATTGCTTTTATTGGTATCAAGACACAAATAGCATTTAATTTCCATAAAAGACAGAAAACTTCTGTATTTTTAAACTTGAATCATGCATCTTAATGTTATTGTATCTTACAGTTGGCAGTTATGGATTTAAGTCCAGCTTGAAAAACTTAAATATTTTTGGATAATTGGTAATATATCAACATTATGGCATGGATGAGGATGTTTTTGAGCATCAGCCAGCAGGCAGAGTGACTTGGATGAAAGTTTTGGTGTAAATGTGCATTGGCTACAACTGCGTTGAATGTTATATGAAAAGTGTTTGGCCTAAATGCATCTCTAGCTTGCTTTAATAGCAGGCAGGAACGTCACCACAAGCACTAAAATGAAAGTAGAGCATAAAATTGAGATGCCTAGTGACTAGGGTGACCATGCGTACTAATTTTCCAAGACGTTGCCTGGCTGGGATTTGTAAATTGCCTAAAATGTCACGGTTTTGGATGTGTTTTTACTATTGACGTGTTCTACAGTCCTCACACATTATATTTGCATTGCTTTGACCGTTCTTTGTAGATCCCGCCTTCTCGTGTGCCACGATTGGTTGATTAAGTACAATGCCTGCACGCTATTGGTCAAACTACTTTTTAATTATAACTTTCAGCAAGTATGAAAACAATAGGAAAACAAAGCCAAAATCCGGACATTTTAGGCAATTTAGAAATCCTGGCCAGGATAAGTTCTGGACAAAGAGGATGTATGTTCACCCCGCTAGTGACTCCCCAACCCTTTATATAAACTTTAAATAGTCTGTGAACTAATCAACCCCGCTGTTTAACAACCAATCATAGGCCTTGGGTCAGTTTTTCTTGGCTAATAAGATTACGCCCACCAATACAGCTCCAAGTGCTATGACAGCTCCTCCAATCAGAAAAGGCTTTAAACTTTCTAAGGCTTCACAGCTACATCCTGCGGACTCCGCCGCCCCCTGTTGGTTGGTTGCTCCATCTTCCGCCGGATTCTCGGGTTCTGCGGGTTCAGCAGAGACGGGGTCTGGCTTTGGTGGTGGCGGTGCCTCCTTCTTCTCTGCTTTAGAGGCAGACTTTGATGCTCCTTTGGCTTTTGCTTCCATGTGGGAGTGGGATCAAGGGGTCAAGGAGTCCTGCAGGTTTTCCTGAGCTTTCTTTTGGAAATAAAATTATAATGAAGAGGGAGAGTTTGAGGTTCTAAATTTCTCCATGTAGCCCACACAACTGTTCAAAATTTGGGGTCAGGTATGTTTTTGAAAGTCTTAACAAGGTTGCATTTATTTGATTAGAAATACAGTGAAAACAGTAGAAATGTGAAATATTATTACAATTTAAAATAACTGTTTTCTGTTTTAAAATATTTTAATTTAATGTATTTAATTAATTTATACCTGTGATGCAAAGCTGAATTTTCAGCATCATTCCTCCAGTCTTCAGTGTCACACGATCCTTCAGAAATCATTCTAATATACTTATCTGCTGCTCAAGAAACTTTTCTTATTATCAATGTTGAAAACAGTTGTGCTGTTTAATATTTTGTGCACCGTCCGTGATATATTTTTCCCAGGATTTTATTTATTAATAGAAGGTTCAAAAGAACAGCAGTTATTTGTAACATTATAAAGGCTGAATTTTGAAAAGGCTCATATCATTGTTAAATGATACAAAAAAAATAAAAAGTACTGACCCCAAACTTTTGAATGGTAGTATATGTAAAAATGATATCCACAATGTTAAAAGAATAGACAAAAATTTAAAAAAATTAAAAAAAAACACACACAAAAGCATATGCTGGTAAAATTCTAATAATTTCACATTTTCTCATATTTATTTCTTTATAGTTTTTTCTTTACAGCAGTGGACTGAACTAGCATTATATGAAAAAGAGCAGCTGAAGAGTCTTTAAAAATTCTCCTTTTGTATTCCACAGAAGAATGCACATGGGTTTGGAATGAAAAAAAAAATGTGAATATGTCACCCAAAACAGAATTATATCACATGAAACATTTGAGTATTTGACCTTGATATGGCAATGACATTAGTGTATATGCAGTGGCCTACTGACTGTCACATGTTGTATTTGCTTGTATTAGACAGCCAAAGGGCAGCATCCATTAGTTGTTGCTTCCTTAAAAACCATGGATGCGTCTTTTGTGCGTAGAAGCTCTTTTTTAGAGTATGTGGGACAAAAGTGACAAGTAACTCTTAACAACAGTCATGTAGCTTACAGATGTGACCTTTTGCATCCACCAAACACAATGAACTATGGTTCTGAGGCATTAAACATGCATAGTTAATCTGCAGCATACAGACATATTCCTGTTAATCTGCATGAGTCATACAAGACCGGTGGAGGGGAGGGGAGCACTGTACATTAAAAATAATTAAAATCACAAAAAAGGACTGAAGCTATGCAGAACCATGCAGAGAATGTATAACCTGGGAAGATGGATTAAAAATATCATGTGATGGATGTGATTTCTGTAGTGATGCTGTTATGACGGCTGCACAGGCCACAGCAGCGCAACACATTCTCTTCCAGTTCTGATGGATATACGTCTGCTCAGAAAGATAATAATGGATGGAACATACCTTCTTTTTGATGCCTTGTAACCCTTGCTCACCTCTTCCTCTTTTCAAAGAAGGGTGGAGAGACGGAGGATGAGAAACCAAGAGATAAGCTCTGCAGGAAGGCCTGAATCCGTCCTCAAGGAGAAACAATCAAAGGAAATGGAGTGATGGAGGACACAGCAGCACGAGGTGGAGGAGAGGTGCTGGGATGTACCACTCTATCAGTGAGAATAGGGGGGAGTGCAGCTGGGGCGCGTGTGCTTTCGTTCGGCTTGAACTGGTGTAATGGTTGTTGCACTGAAATTTTATGTAATTATTGACGTCATATAGGTGCCACAGTCTGCAGCAAACACAGACAGTTACTGTCCTGGGGCAAGCATTCCTTTATCAAAACAGAAGATGCATTTTTGGGGAGTGCCTAAACAGGTTTTACCTGAGCAGAAATATTTTACAAGCTCACTTGCGTTGTAATGTCAGTCATGCGTTACGTCAAATTCCCACACACCTCAAAGACTGTTTGGTATGAACCTGTTTATATCATAATTGAAGAGACAGATCATGCCCTTAAATAAATATAATTCTATCCATCTATATCTATCTATCTATCTATCTATCTGTCTATCTGTATATATATAAATTATCTATTTGTCTATCATCTATATATATATATTCTAGTATATAGTATATAGCAATAGTATATATTCTGTATTAATGTATATAATCTATCATCTATATCTAACAGTAGGCTATATATTGTGTTTATAAATGATATATCTATCTATCTATCTATAATATGCAATGACGTATTTTATAAATGTATTTACTGATTGATTTGTTTCTTATCCATTGGCACTCTCTGCTGATTACGAAATCTTAAGATATTCAAGAAATGACGTCGTTCCGCCCAGCATACTATGTCGGAGGAGTCTCCTCTGTATTCACTAAAGCCCGTCCCAGCTGTGGCCAGTGGTTACTAAGCAGCGGAAAAGCGCAGCGCGGTACGTCAATAGCGCAGCGTCACTTACGGCAACCAATGGATGACGTGAGATACGCCAGGAGCGCAGGCGCGAACCGGGATGCGGGTCCAGTATGCGCAACTTTAATGGAGAATCGCAACGACGTTGCTTGTATGGAAAAAAGATCGTGGCGAAGATATATACAGCAATCAATCTGACTGGGACCTGCTGCTGCGGACAGACAGTGCGGGACCTGGACTACTCAGTTACTACGCGGAGAGGGACTGTCATGACCGAGCCTGGGGAATAAATGTTAGATTCGTGTGCGCGTGAAGATTTTCGCTGTTTGAAGGGAACATGGAGCGGCTTCTGACGCGACGCGCGCTTGGAAAGGCGTGAAAATATCCGTGACGTTACTGCGGAATGTCACCGAAACTGAGACGATCGGTATGAAATAAAAAGAAATCCGTTTCTGGACAGAATTAAACACATCCTCACTGCTTCATGTGTTCGTGTGAATGCAAACGGGACGCCGCATTAACGGAACTGTTGCTGTTCTGAGACCTGTGGCTGGCTCGGAACCGTGATCTGGGTCGGTTCTGCGGTTCGGCTAGTGTGTGTGTGTGTGTGTGTGTGTGTGTTTGCGGAGGATGGGAGATTTAAGAGAGTCCATGCAGAAGAAGGTCTCGGGAAGACGCGCTCACACTACAGGTGAGTCTCTGTACGGGCGACCCATATGATAATTCACCATGGTAACCGCAGTTTCCGCCAGAAAAGCGTACGTTAGATACCAAATTTACAGTTATTGCGCTAACGAAAAAAAACTAATGTTTTTGTTTGGATTTTGTACATGTATTGCGATTCTTTGAAGCACCTCTGAGTACATTCAGTACTCTGGTATTGTCATCTGTCTGTGATTGTGTACAACACAACACTTGACCACAGTAACTACCGATTAGAATATCATTATATTGTTATCGCAACGAAAATTACCATGTTTTTTGGCATATAGCATGATACTACTGTGGTATTCTTTAAAGTACAGTACTTTGAGTATCTAATAGCATGGTAGGCGAATATGGTAATCATTCTGTGCAATGTTAAATTACTTACAAAAGTACCGCGGTATACATTTGATGCCATAGTACTGCCACGGTATTTGTTTGTAAGTCATATCAGAGCTCCTTGATATTACCATGTCTTTAGATATGTACCATGGTCTTAACATGGTGTTCTTGGAAGTACGTTAGATCCTTTAAATAACATCTATGATTATGGTAATCATCAGTTAAACTTTTACCATAGTTTCATATAGAATATGAAATACATAACTCATAAATCCATAACAGAATGTCATATTCAATACAGTTATTGCACAGAAAGTACTATAGTATTTTCAGGGTTGTTTAAATGTGCTACCATGGTGGTTCTGTAGTATTCTTTGTTTGTACCTATGTATTTTGCCAGGAAATATTGATACCCATTGTTCATTTTAGTCATTTTTTTAGGTCATACCTTGTAAACCTGTATGAATAGCAATGCGTTTATGAAAGAAGAGTTTTGCATTGCTGCAGGCATGTGAGCACACCCAGCATTTCTGGTTCATGACGAAGTAACGACAGTATATCGTGGTGAGTTAGAGGATGTCTGTCTTATGATTCTTGCTCAGGAAGTCTGAGCTTCTTTTATATTTGACAGCGGTATTGCAGATCTCCATGTCTGCAGCACACACATGGCAAAAGGACAGTGAAGTTCAGAACCAGAGGCTTTTAATTCTTAATGGACAGGTTGTGGTTGTATCTTCGAGGCTGGATGAAGCCCATCAGTGGTTTGAAGGGGCCAGCAAATGCATGCTCGCTGCGAGAGGAAATTGCTGTTAATTACTGAGTGCAGCTTTTTGTATGGACAAAGAGCATGTTTTAGGATCATTTTGTTGATGTGTCAACCCTTGAGCTGTATTTGAAAACATTGTCGACTGATTATGGGATCTTCAGTGGAATTGGCCGATGTCATTATCTAGTGTGCAAGGTGGCTGATGACTGATAATAATGGGAAAATAAGTTGCAAATAAGATGCACACAAAACTGCTGCTAAAATGAAAAACAGACAATGAGTGCTATCTATTGATGACAACTGTTGAAACTAGGCAGAATGATTACTTTAATCGAAACTGATGCAGATATGGCCAAATATCAGATGATTAATCTGCTGGGCAGGTATATATCATTTTATCACTAATGTGTGCTAATGTGCATTTAAAGATAATCAAAACTGACCTTACATTTTTAGTACATCCTGATCTTAAATACAGTTTGGCTTTGAAAAATATTATTTTGAGAAACTATCCTTCAGGTGTGGCTCCATTCTCGCATGAAAGCCCACCTTTTTCAATCTAATTAATTCTAGATGGATAAAAAGTCCCACCCTACTGTTTTTTTTATTTTTCTATCATGCATTTCTTGTGAAAAGCGAAGGGCCAACTTGTTTATGTTCTGCTAGACCGCCTTTCTACTAAGCATATCTTATTGGACTGCTCTGCTTTTAATGCAAGTACAACAATATTATTTAGTAAGATCTCTTAAGGATTTGTTCAATAAAATTCTTCCACAAAATGTTTTTATCCTTTTTGTTAAATTATTTTGTTAAAGAGATTTTTTTAAATCATATATACATTTCAAAACACCTTGTGTAATTTTAATATATTGAATTTATTTATTTATTTATTTTTTGTATGTTTTTTTTTTTTTTTTTTACAACTCAACTGGAAGAAAATGTACGATGCAGCTTTTGGTATTGAATTTACTGTTACGTAAATGCATCACATTGTGGAAGAAAATGTTATGAAAACATCGTTTCATGTTCTCAAGGCTGCCGGATTGATAATATTTTAAACATGAACATATATACTGAAAATATCAAGAGTTAAAATCCCCAAATCAGAGCTTTTCTCTTGCTGATTGTGCAATTTGCTGCAACTAATTCTGCCAGCAAACATTCTCCATGACGAACTGTAATAAATCCAAACGCGAATCTCGAATATTTTATTTGCGATTATGGCTCCTGAATAAATGCATTTACGCCACGTCTGTGTGACAATACAAGGTCTTCTTTGTTGTTTTCACTTTTAGGAGAAGCTTCTTAAGGTTTTACCAGTTTTCTTAAAGGTGGGGTAAGCGATTTCTGGTAGCCAATGTTGACATTTGAAATCACCAAAACAAACACGCCCTTGTTTTTTATCCGCCATCTCTATCTTTCTGTCGCTCGGCTCGGCTAATGTCCGTCCTGTGCACTGAACTCTCTCTCCTCCACATCATGAGTAGACACGCCCCTTACTGCTGATTGGCTACAAATTTGTTTTTCTAGTCGGCCCGAATCCGTTTTCTAAAGCGTTTTTGAAAAATCGCTTACCCCACCTTTAATGTAGAGATTGTGTTAATGTATGTGATAAATGTACTAAATAATTGAACCATTATCCTGCGACCTTACTTCTCCAGCATCCCCCATGACGAACAAGCAAAACAACCCTATTCTTCAGACAGATGCTGAATGTCTTGTGTGGTACTGCATACTGAGGTGTAGATGGGGTCTTGAAATCGCCTCGAGGCTCCATTTGGCCTTCAGAAGCAGGCTTTCCTCTCATGAAATCTCCAATATTGGACTGTATTGAACACGCTTGCGATAAACCAGTCAAGCCTCTCACAGCATAAACAATCGTCCGATCAAAGGATGTCGTTTGTAGGATAATACAGTTCATGAAGAGTAATTGTTATTTTGCCCTGAATCTTTCCAGTCTTTTCTCACAGTGATGCAACAGACAGACTTCAGCAAGATTGCAATGCTCTTCCTCTAGTACGTCCTGTACTGTGATTGCAGAAATATTGATTATAGCAATACTAATTATAAATAAAATGTTTATTAAATGTTATTTTTCTTTATATATTAATTATAAATTATACATTTAGTATACCTAAAACTTAATTTAAATGTACTAAAAATAAAATAAAAATAAATTTCAATTATTAAATAAAACTCAATCATATTTTTTAGAGCAGATGGAAATAGAGAAAGAATCACTGGTTCTGTAATTACTGCCATTGGGCCTTATTAATGAAACACAAGCAGAATGAAATTTTGTGTAAATATTTTGTAAAACAATAGATTGAGTGCAACAATTTACATGAGAATGGTTTATGAACGATTCATACA